AAACGGGATCCACAAGCAAACATGTCCGAAAAACACTTCATAGACAATGCGAATTACAAACAGACTTTACAAGCTCTGAACAGTGGCACAACAAAGGGTAAAATGGTCCATTACAGACCGAAAAGCTCTCTCACGTGTCCACATGACACAACCTTTATTTACAAGCCTAAAGAGGCCACCAACCCAACTAAAATGGGACTTATAAGCCTTCGGCCGCCCCTTTACATTCTGTACAGGGCATGAACATGCCAAAAGACACGGACACACATAAGCATTACATCCAACGTCTTGTTGAGAAGTTTGTCCGTGACAAAACGTTACCTCAAGAGCAGTCTAATTAAGGAGACCCTTTCTGAGGAGTCTAGTCACACGTCTGCTTGCCTGACTTCTGGCATCTTGAGTATGTTATAATGTGACTTCTGGAAATTACAATTGAGAAATATTTACTATCCAATTGGCTTTCTGATTCTTGTTATATTATTATGGTTTCTTCTTCGGATGAAATTGCTAAGGTGGACTTGTAAATGCAGTGTTTCAGGGAAATGGGAATACCAACAAGAGAATCAGAGGCTTCCATTTAACAGTGTCTAGGCCATGGGAGCATGTTGACCATGTAATCATGAATCTTCCAGCTTCTGCTTTGGAATTTTTAGGTGAACTTTTGTTATTATCATTTTCCCTGGAATCTGAATGCAATGTTTTGGCCAGTTAGCATATACAGAATGTTGTAAGGTGCTGTACCATTCCAGGTGCAGTGATTCAAATTTTCGAGTAACAAATGTGTATCTACATTGGTTGTCTAATATATTTTACCTCCATCTCCGTGACAAAGACACCTGAACCTATTTGGGTTCTGTATCAAGTTGTGTAATCATCAAAGATTTTTCTCCTCTTACCATTAATCAAAGTTATCATAATTAGTTTTTTGTTTTAAATGCCTTATTCAAATAAAGCAAAATGCTAATTATGACAATCTAACTAATGGTAAGAGGAGAAAATTCTCCAACAATTACAAGTTGACAGATCCTCAATGGCTCATGTGGTTCCTAGGCAGCTATTTCTTTATCTAGGTTTATTTCTAATGAATTTATCATTGTTATATCTAATAAGGTTACTTGGTATATTGTTCACTTGGATTATATCTATTTGGTTACATGTGAAACATGACAAATGTATGACGAGTTTTGTTGTAATCATCTTGAGTTATGGTTGATGACCAAACAGATGTCTTTAAGGGCCTCATTCAAAGAGAACACTGGAGGGGGTCTTTACCTTGGATACACTGCTATTGCTTCATCCGATCAACTGAAACCAAAGGATCAATATTATCTGTGAGTCCTCTCCCACATGTTACAGATAATCTCATATTGTTTGTGCTCTTGTACTTTGTGTAAGCTAATTCTGAAAACATTCCAATAGATTATTTTGTTTTCAAATTAAATAAACTAAAATATCTTTTCTTTCTTATTTGTCCTCAAAGCTCAGGATATTAGCTCTCTCAAAGGCTTAATCATTCAAAGTCTACACTACAGTTTACATCAGACATCTTAATCAAGCCATAAAGGGGCTTGTAGGTCAAAACTCAGTATTTCTTTAGTGTTTCCATGCTATTTATGTTCACTTTTATGTAATCATGCAAATAAGGAACAAAGGAAGTAACTAACTTTTAGTTATATAAGAAAGTAACAGTCAAGGGATCTACATAGATGGAGCTGTATCCAGTTGTATTGTGAAGCTAAGGTTGTTCAATAGATCTTGGAACTGCATAAACCTGTGTGCTTATCGTTTGTAGTATTAGACCAGTTTCACTTGACTCTTTACAAATTTTACTGCATGATATGTGAAGTTCTTGTCCTGTTGTCATTTTTATCTTGTAGTCCTTCGGACATGACTTTTGTTTATCATATCATATAGTTTTGATCTTGGCACAATGATAGGTAAACAAAGGTTTTTAAACTCGATAACAGTAACTTAATTGTGTCCATCTTTAGCCAAAGACCAAATATATCTTTGGGGTTAAAGGACTGGCATGCTATGCATGTGCAGGTCAATGACTGTGTGATACATTCCATAATGTGTCACTACTGATTATGTTATCAGGCCTGTGCATGAAATGTATTCCGAGTTGTATGTTTGGCTGTCACCTTTACATTTGGTTTTGGGGATTGGGATGGTGATCGACTCATCCAGAAAATAAAAAAGTTGGATTGAGATTGATCTTGGCAAATTTCAGTTGGTTCTTATTGATCTCAGGTGGATTCTAAACCTTAAAATATAATCATTCAAAATCTGATAGCTGATCCTAAGACATCATCTTGATTCAACCTTGGATATACATGTATATATAGAAGTTGTGAAATAAAGATCTAAATTTGGTTTGTAATTCTGTTTGACATAATCGTAAATCTGAGGCAACCAAGAAAAATGATATATCGAGGAAAATCTTTGCTGGTACAACAAAATCAAATGTTACATCAGGAGCAAATTTTTAGGAAATTATAGTTCTCAGCATAAAAAGCTTTAGGGAAGAGTTCAGTTAAGCAACAAATAAGATGTCAAGTGAGTGTTCCTTAGAACTACTTTGGCTTCATGTTAGGGAGGACCACCGTAGAATTTTAACTTTTTCCTAATGGACAGTTGATAAAAGGGACATCAAGAAAAGTAGAAAGTATTGCATAATTTTTGTTCACTTGAAAGTTCATCATAAAATATGTTGCATTTTAGAAAGTAAGAACGCCTGGAAAGATTCTTTAATTTGATTTAGAATGTTTATAATGGAACAGTTTGTATATGGATGATAATATGATATAGGGTGAAACAGTTGACCTTTTGATTACTGCATGTTGCACTGCACAACAGATTAATCTCTGATCTGTTTGCTTTATTAGTGGATGAATCTACTGCTCTTATTCAAAATAAGTTTCATGGTGTATATCTGCTGCTAATATTATTTGATTAATGGGAGGATCTAAATTCACAAATGTCAAACACAGTTGATTCTGATATATCAATGAAAAGCAGCAGCAGATTCTATTAACATAAAGCATGATTTGATTCATTGATCTCAAAGAAAGCTAAAAAGGGCGAGTTCCACCATTATCTGAAAAATATTTGAAGTGGATGAAAAATTGAAGTTCAGAAAATTCAGAAAGCAAAAGCCTTTGGTCTCTTTTCTCGGCATTGAACAAGAATATAAAGCTCAAAAGTATTTTTTTTTCTCATATATTATTAAAGAAAACCATTTAATATAGTTCTTATATTGACCATATTGAGGTGCACAAACCACAAAGCATGCCATATTTTCTTGGCATAGAGTTCCATTTGGTGCTACAGTTGTATTCACACCCCCTTTCATCAAAGTTGGCTTGTGTTGGTTGGTGCAAAGCCCATGATGTACTGAGTATGTTGCTGCAGGGACATACTGATAACTTCAAATCCTTGGTTTAGCCTTCGGATTGGTGGTTATCTAGAGAGGGGGCGGAAACTAAGAGGACTTGGTCAAAAATAATAGTGAAAAATGTGACGAGCCTTGGGTTGTCTTCCGATGTAGCTGTCAAAAAAGCTACATTGAGATAATCTTTGTGGCTAAACGAGATCATTGCCTTTTTGCTGCCATTATATGATTTGCCTATGTTAGCATTCCGGGAATTGTATAATTTCTCATATCTTACACAATACATTTGCATTATGTTTGTTTTCATTTTTATTCAACATGTTGAAAGCAATCTTCCGGTTGTTTCAATTTTTTGTTTGAAATGGATGGCCAATCTACAGTAACAGTAGCATTGTTTCTGTTTCCTAAAGATCCCTCCCAAATTGCTGCAGTAACAGTTTCTGTGATTGTCTCATTTAGCAATTCTGTAAGTTCTTATCTCTCTCTTTTGCAGAAAGCAGAGTCTCTTTTGAGTACTAAGATAACAGACCCAATTTTCCATCGGGTTAGGGATGTTGCCCCCAATAAGGTACAAACATACATTATTTATTTTTCTGAATATAGTTGTTGAGGTTATGGAAGATTGGAATTAAAAAGATCAGGCTTTCATGTATGTTGTTTTCAATGCCAGTTCTTATTGTGGTCAGTGGTCACATAACCTAGGCAACCTAGGGCACGAGACCTAGCATAGGCCATAGAGTCAAAGTAATTAGTAACATGCTCTAATTACTGTGATGACCTTTAATTATTAGAAGTTAAATCTTCCATTATTTATTTTCTTTTATCCTGTCGATCATATTTCTTTATGATAACCTGCAAAGAGCCTGATATTTTTCCTCGTCTTTTGCATTATTTTTGAATTGATGACCTTTTCTCCCTATTTTTTATGTTTTCAGGCTATGTTTTGTTTAAGCTTCAAGCTACCAATAGAGACCTGTTTCCGAGATGTTAATAATGTTGGTGCTGAATGAAAGTTCTATATGGAAAAAAACTACATAACAAGTCAACTCTGTCGGATATATATCTGTGTTGAAACGAAAGGTTGAGGTTGAGAACTATACGCAGTCTTACAATGTCGGATGTATCTTTGAGTAACTACTATGATTGGAAAACGATGAATTCTAACTTCGACACGAGGATATCACTTCTGATTTAGTGTTTTCTTTTGTGTGTGAATTGAGCGAGGAAAGACAGACATGGCATGTTTCTGTGACTTTGAAACTTGGAGAAGCAGACATGACATGTTTCTGTGACTTCGAAACTTGTAGAGCTCAAGAATAACTCTTGCACATGATAGAAACTATTTTCTTATCTACATTGTGCAGAGCAAGATATTGAAATCATAATTGATGGGTTGTATCAATGTGAGGACTTGTTCAAGAGCATCTGTTAGTGCATCAGGGATAAAGCAGGAAGGATCCCATATGTTATTTTATGTCACCAGGAGACAACATATGTATCTTAATACAGTGTAACTCATCCAGGAAGTTCTTAGTTTTTTTACATTTTTGTTTTTTTAAAGAGCTTCTTGGAGGAGAGAAACAAGAAATCTCTTAATTCACATTATGAACTTTTAAACCACTGATTGTTTTAATCGTCTTGTGTTTGTCTAAAGTCGGAATTCATTATATTTTTGGTTTATCTCATGTTAGAGTGAATCTGTTGAAACATTTCATGTGCCGCGTCTGCATTTCATGTTTCGATCTGCATTGCTTTGCACAATGCCATGAAACAAGAAATAATGTGGCACATGAGATGTCTAACAGATGCACCCATGAACTTTTTTTGCTTTTCGATATCAACAATGTATGGTCAAGAATCATTATGCAGCACACCATGTGGGGAGATCCTGCTCCATGGAATTGCCCTGATTGCTTACACAGTCTATCACCAACAGAGACAGTTGCCATTGGAGAAAACATGAGGAGTCAATTTTACTTGGTTCTGGCTTTATCACTCATGGTTCATATGCAGCTTCATCACAACCTAATCTTAGAAACTCTAGATGTATCTAGATGCCCACAGTGAGAAGCTTTGATTGAGTAATAGAAGATGCAGACGACGACATGTAATAAAGGAATCCCTCCAGATATCCCTACTTTTTTCCACCATTTGAACACGTGCTACAAGGAAATAAAACACCGTGGAAGTTTAAGTAGAAGTTCCAGGTATTCTTAGTCTCTATATTAGGACCACATAGGCTGCACCTAAGGTTAGTAAGGGGTCTTATATCACTTTGAAGATGGTCTACTTTTTCTGCTTCACACCAGAACCACAAAGATGGTTGACTTCTCAATCCCTCCCACCAATCTCGTTACCATTCTTTTGCTCATGGTCTTAGATACCAACTTAATTGCAACCGAATCTTAGAAACTCTGGATTTATCTGACCAAAATGAGAATCTTTGATTGAGCTATGGAATATGCTTTGTAGAAGATGAGTCCCTTCGAGTATTTGGACTTTCCACAATGTGAACACATGTTATAAATGAATAAAACAGTAACTGTGTGTGTGTGGAAATTCCAAGTATCTATCTTCTATAGAAGGACAGCGTAGGCCGCTCGAAAGTTCATCTGGGGGTCTTATAGCACTTTGAGGATGGTCAATTTTAGCCAATTCGTACTATAACCACAGAGATGGTCAATTTTCCAATCTCTAGTTGCCATTCTTTTGGCCTCTTCTTGGGAACCTACAATCAATAAGGAAAGTTCAAGCTAGGTGGACAAGTCGGATTCCTAGAGTGCCTTGTTCTTTGTCCACATTCTACTTCCTATCGCAATCTCACTCGAAGAACCGGCACAAGGGACAGAGGAAGGCTCCGTGTTCTTCAGCTACCCAACCACCCTAGAGGGCATGGCTGGGGCTGTCTCATTGGTTGTTGACAAGGGGGTCACCGCCACTTGACCATATCATCAATCAAGTTGCGACATGTCATATGCAATTGAAATTAATCAAAGCAGCCACGTGCAGAGAATGGAAATTAGATTTAATTTTTTTTTCGGGGGGGGGGGGGGGATAAAAGAGAAGTCATCAAATGAGAATCCTAAAGTACGGCAAAGTTTGGAGAGAGATATTAACATTAAAAAATGATTGATGCATCAGGCTTCTATCAGTCCATGTAAGATGGTCTTACGCATGTGAGATGAGAGGTCATTTTCTGCTATTTGAAATCAAAGATATCGAAGGTAATGAAATATCTCTCTGGGTGCAAGTTAGTTCTCCTAAAACTCGATGAAAAGGTAGATAACTTCTAAGAAAAGAGCCATTCTCTTCGTGACCTATTTACAGCACTTAATCTCATGTAGGAGTTGGTAAAAAGTGCCCTGCTACATACTTCATGATGCCTAATGATTGAGATCGACTATTCCATCCATCTTAAAATTATGAGGATCAAATGGAAAATCTTGAGAGTGTCCAAAAATTTGATCTCGGTAATTATCCAGGTGGGATGGTTCTTTATTGCTGAACAGAATTAGACGAGGAAAAAAGAACTAAGAGACAGGTGCTGCTGTGGAAGTTCATAAGATACAAACGACATCGGCAGAGAATGACAGCGCATCCAACACACGCCTGCCGACAAAACTCTGTTGCAGATGGACAGAATCTAAGAAACGCGTGGTATGACCAACAACATTGGTCGTTTTAGTAACAGCTCGGTCACATGTAGTCTGTGCGCTTGCCGACGCATGACACCTCACTGAACAAACCTAAGCAAATCTTGATTTAAACTACTCTTATGAGTAGGTAGTTTACAAGAAGGGAACCCTCATGTGGTGTGTCTACCTGTGAGCACTCAGTGTTATTGTCAATTCCAGTAACCTTTGAAGTCACTCTTCGTTAGGTGAAGAGAAGATGCAAATAATGATGAAGAGAAGGTGCAAGGAAACCACGCAAGTGACTTCGACTAGGGAAGTAAACAGGAATGCAAAATGAATGAAGAATATGACATTTGAGAGAGAGAGAGCAATTATTTGGAATTCTTCTTAGATGGAGGACCAAATTGATGAGTTCAAAGGGAGGTCTACTCACAGTGGATATGGATGGAAAAGTTGCATCCATGGAGACGTTGTATCAGCTACCTGCAAAAGGAAAAAACACGAGGATATATGTCAGCAGCAGCAAGATCAAAATATTGTCTCAGAAGAGCCCCTTATTGACAGTGCAATCTAGTTTAGCAATACCAGATCATTGTTCACAAAATAGGAATATCCATTGCGTGATTCCAAAGACTAACTCCTCCAGTAAGCCAGCTTGATCTCTGTCAAGAAATGGATGTGACTCTGAGAAGAAGCTCATCTCAATGATGCAGATTACGCATGAACGGCTTTCTGTTCTCTCTCTTTCCTGGCGTGTGTGGATCATGTGAATGATTCAGTTTTGAACAACTTCTACATAAAGAAGAACCACGTCTGGTTAATAAATGGACATGAAAAAGGTGACAACAAATCAAGTGATCGTATTACCACGGCATTCAATAACAAGCAAAGAAGCTGATTCCGGAAATTTCTGGGCTAGAAAGATGGGGAGATTCAACTAAAAGCTCTTGCATCATATGACTTGTCCCGTGAGCAGTTCGAAAGAGCATCCACACAATGCAACCCTCTGTTCTTTCTCTCTCTGACTTTTGCCGTCCTGAACCTTCATGAACAAAATCCAACCATTTTGTGGCCCCCGTCATTCTACATCAAAAATCTTCTGCATCATCGAGGGTCCTGGAAATACTTATCTGCTTTCTGAACCAACTCACACCATTGTGGATTGAGAAGAACCTAAGCTGACCCACAAGGTAGGCTCCAGTTGAATAAACCTCTTCTTCACATCCCAAAGTATAAGACTTGCAATTCAATCATTCCATTTGTGGCTCCTGTAGCTTTTAAATCTTACCTGATGGTCCTATAAAGAAGTCCTCTTCCTGCCACTTGTCCTGCAAGTTATTATCCAAAATGAAAGGTTTACATTAGGTTGATCAACATCCACTCAAATTCACAAACCAACTTTGAGAAAATAACATATAGAAATCTAAAACAACTGTTTAGAGAAAACCAGTTGAAACCTACTAGAGTGTCCTCTATGCAATGAAAGCATTCGATCAGAAGCAAATCTAATCAACCACTTATTGGACCACATTCTTCAACCATAAGGTGCACAACTAACCAGGGTTCAATTAAATGCCTGAAGTAATTGAATCATATAGACTTCTCTCAATATCCTGAGAAAGAGTCAAGACATCATTTATAGCTGGCTTCTTTAGACTGGTCTTTGTGTCCATCGTTACGGTCCTTGGAGCTAAGTATCAACTAGTCAAAATGAGTCACACACACATGTTCAGTTGGAAAATCATTTCACTTGTGGTCCTAGCACAATTTGGAATCCTAATTATACTTGAACACACATAATTAAAACCTAATCCCAACACACATTAATCTGTTTCATCCATTTGCTATTGCCAGTCGTATGAGGAATTATTCCACTACTAATCCTAGCACTATTCGGAATCCTAATAATACTTGAATTCTAAAGTCAGATCCTATTTGTATATCCACGTGAAACTCTACACGCTTGCAATGGTCAGTGGTCTATATCGGTGTCTAGTGGTTGATGTCCACCATGGTCCTCTGTTTTATTTTGCCCATTATCTGGGACCCAAAGAAAAACCTTTAGACCGTCAACTCCGTGTTGCTTCTGTATATAAATCAACCCACTACTCCTCACCATACACGGTTAGCTTCACATACCGTCCCAAAGAAAGCATGGACCTCTTTTGTGCAGCTAAGTCCTACTTCCAGCCCTTCTGCTATGATGGCTTCCAGGAGAGCAGCAGCAGCAGCTACAGCTTCTCCAGCGACCTCCTGCCATCTCTGGGAGCAAACATTAACCAATCAGTCAAGCTAAGAAAGTTCATAATATCACCTTATAATCCTCGGTACAGGTGAAGTTTCCACTGCACGTCCGACTTTTCTTTCTTCCATGCATATATAGGATAAACTTTGCTGATCTACCTGTTACATGTTCTCTCCTCAGAGCATGGCAGATATTCCTGATCCCCCTGGTTATTTATTCAGCATGGATTTGCCCATATGAACTTGCGTTTCTGAGACACTACCCAGCCAAACTTCTCTGGGTTGAGAACATCCTGAATAGCTTTTTTGCAGTAGATATTATACTCACCTTCTTTGTTGCCTATCTTGATCGTAAATCATATCTCCTGACTGATGATCCAAAGAAAATTGCAGCCAGGTTAGTAAGCTATTTATACTTATTTCTTTCTCCTTCAGAAGCATAGAATTCATTGGGACCCTTATCATGCAGATATCTATCCTCCTGGTTCATCTTCGACATCTTATCCACGGCTCCATTTCAACTAATCAGCTTTCTCTCTGATAGCAGTGTGAATGGCCTTGGTTTTAAGATACTCAATATGCTCAGACTATGGCGGCTACGTCGAATCAGTTCATTCTTCTCCAGGTCTGCAATACTTTCGGTATCTTCAGAATAGGATGAACAGTGAAAACGGATGATCATTATATTGCTTTCTTTCAATAGGCTTGAGAAGGATATCAGATTCAACTATTTCTGGACTCGATGCACAAAGCTCATCTTAGTAAGTTCATCTGTATTCTTCTCTTCCTTTCCATGTCCAAACAACAATGGTGGGTAAATAATGTATCTGCAACTTCTTCGTCTGGCTTCAGGTTACTCTCTTTGCTGTGCACTGTGCTGGATGCTTCAATTATCTAATTGCTGACCGGTACCCGAATCCAGAGAGAACATCAATAGGAGCAGTAATGCCCAACTTCAAATCAGAAAGCTTGTGGACCAGATATGTCACTGCAATTTACTGGTCCATTACAACACTGACAACAACTGGTTATGGAGACATCCATGCTGAGAACTCGACAGAAATGCTGTTCTACATCTTCTACATGCTGTTTAATTTGGCATTGACAGCTTACCTCATCGGAAACATGACGAACCTCGTTGTTCATGGAACCAACCGCACCCGAAACTTCGTACGTGTTGCTCTTCTTTCCGTTTCTGCTTTCTAATGTCATGTTACCTGATAGGAGATAGGAAGGTACAAAGATAAGTTCATTTCTCTACTAGCAGCTTCTATTCGTTAGACGAAGATCATCAAGTGTCAATAAGTAACGTGATTCTTAATTTAACTTCAATTTTTGCTGTTGTTCTACCTGCAGGAATGTCAATAAATTAACTATTTGCAGTAGGTAACAGAGAATTCAATATTGTATTTGAATGTTCAGCCAAGTATATTACTTTGTTATGAAACAAGGTCAGACATGAAATCGATTGAACCATATATAGGTCAACAAAAAGGTGTTACCTGAATCAGAAAGAATGCTAGGCAAAAGTTAGATTAGAGAAGCTCTAAGGATAAATGCGTAGGTTTCCTTAAGAGGTAATTGCTGTCTTTTGTCATCTGCTTCTGACGATCATTTGATGCAACAGAGGGACACAATCCAAGCTGCTTCTGAGTTTGCTGCAAGAAATCATTTGTCCCAGAACATAAGGTGTCAAATGCTCTCTCACATATGCTTAAGATTCAAAACAGAGGGGCTAAAACAGCAAGAAACCTTGAATAGTCTCCCCAAGGGTGTTCGTACAAGTATAGCATGTTATTTGTTCTATCCAATTGTACAACAAGTCTACCTCTTCCGTGGAGTTTCCCGCAACTTCCTTTATCAACTGGTATGCAACTTGCCTCCAGTGACATAAACATCTTGACCATATTGTAGATATTTATACTATTTTCTTGTATGAAATAGGTGACAGAGATGCAGGCTGAGTATTTTCCACCAAGGGAAGATGTTATCCTGCACAAAGAGACACCAACAGATCTCTACATATTGGTAACAGGAGCAGTGGTAAGCAAAGATTTCGATGCTTCATGAACTAATCATGGTGCTCATGTCATGCTGTTTACAGTAATAAGCAATATGCTGATCCAATTGCTAACTTGACTTAACAGGATTTGAGATCGAATATTCATGGGAATGAGCAAGTATGTTACTATGTTTCTTTACTAATTCGTTCTTTTTCCTTTTTAGCCAAAAGTATACATAACAAAAGCATGTCTCTAAATATGATGCATCTGTGTCAACAGATTCATAAAAGGGTTGCCGCAGGGGAAGTATTTGGGGAGATAGGTGTTCTATGTCACACGCCACAACCATATACTGCACGCACTGTTGAACTCTCGCAAATTCTAAGGCTGAGCAGCAGCACGTTCATGAACATGATCCAGGAAAATGCAGGAGATGGAATCATCATTATGAACAATCTTTTGCAGGTATTATTTGGACTCTACATCCTAAACATGCCTCATCTAACAGAAATGGTAGCTCATGCTTCTGATACCATTTTGCAGAAGCTGAAACTAGAACAAAGCCCATCTGCTGGAGTAGAAGAGAGCAGTCATTTGCTCAAAGAGATGTTAAAAGGAGAAAATTGGAGCTTCTCTTCTTGCTACCAGGACTACAAACTCCAAGAACAACCATCGTGGGAATCAATGGAAGGAAGAAACAACCCATGCACAGTATCAGGGAATGATAGATGGGACACATCATATGATTTGTATGGGACTGATGTAAATTTAACCCATACACCCATACATGCAGCACTGCGTAGGTGTGACAAAATGGGAAACAGCAAAATTGTCGAACTGGATCAGGAAGCAAACAGGGATGGACTAGACGTCAGTGATCGGACACCAATGGATTTGGCAGAGAATGCCGAAAATAATAATATCTGCAAATTGTCATTGAGATACAACAACGGAATGTCCATGACGGAGGATCAACAGTTCGCAAACATCAATAACACAAACAGTGCAATTGAAAGCTATGAAGAGCAGAGCCAGATATTTATGCACTCAAAGATACCTTACAAAATGAAGAATGCATCTTCAAGGAGTGGTTGTAGTTCAGTTGATACCGATAAAAGGCAAACCGTCAGCAAAAGAGTCGTCATTCATATGCATAAAACAAAGTCGAGAAGTTCAAGAGAACTCATGGGGAAACTCATCAACTTACCTGATTCTCTTGAGGAGCTCTTCAAAATCACTGGTAAGTATTGCTTAACTTAGCTAAGATATGCAATGCAAAACCTGAAAGTTTGACATTAAGTATTTCTTTCTAATATAAAGCTACTACAAATCAGAAGATAGCAGAAATTATTCATACCTTGAATAGGGGATTAACTATTGCATGTGAACTAAGATCATTCATTGTCATCTAAAATTAATTTCGTATAAGTGCAGGCCAGAAGTTCAACGTTGATCAACCTACAATGGTCGTCAATCAAGATGATGCAGAAATAGATGACATTGCAGTTATTCGAGACGGGGACCATTTATTTCTCCTATAGCAGGTTGATGATGTCTACACAAGTAACATAACATGATCTCCAAATTTTCTGTCACCAATTTTAGCACTAACCTTAACATATACAACCTCAAGTAGACCTCATTTATGCCAAGAGAAGGTCAAAAACCATTAAGCAAAATCTTTCTTCCAGTCCCTAATTGTATATGGTGCCAGAAGTTGCAAGCTGCAGAAATAATCAGCTGAGAATGGCACTTTATGCAGAATACAATTTTATTCTTTGATTTTTTATTTTATTTTCTTTTATTTGTATTGTTGAGCACAACCTATACAAAGGAAGAAGTTTATTATCTCCAAACAAAGGGATATAGATGGTCCAGTGTTTACCCCTACATGGAAGTCTCTATATCAGCTCTTCTACCTACTTCAAGGTTGCATCCATTATGGTCACTGAATCTGTAAATCTGCTGTATGAGAATGCTAAGAACAAGTTCAGACCAAAAAAGGAGAGTAAAGGACTAACAATGATCAATAACACAGGAATCAAACTACAATGCCTACATTGTGCTGTATTTACCCATCAATGTTAAGATTGAAATAAGATGCAGTAACAATCAGATTAAACGTTTGGGGATTGGATATTTGCGTCCAACAGCAGCGCTGACCTCTAGAACGGATCGAGTTCTCAAAATAAAGGGCGAAACATGACCTAATCTCAAATCATTTATATCGCAGGAGCAGAAATCTTCCGAAACGACGCACAAAGCATATAAAATGATGATAGAGGAGAACCTCAAGAGGAGATCAGCGGCGCGATCTGGGACAAGATATCGATATAGGAGACAACCGCGAGGTATTCGATCCGGAAAAGAGAAGAAACAGAGAAAGAGGGGACGATCGGAGACGATGATTTGGCGCTCTCGCGCCCGCTTAATTTGAATTCACCGATAACGGCCACTGTAACGTTTGCAACGGCAATTATAACGGTTTAATCATGTTAATATCACATCAATGTTGGTGCCGTTATTACCTTTAAAAAATCAATTAAAAAATATATATAAACCAATTAAAACCTAATTAAATTATTTTTTTCTTATATTTTTTTATTTTGTGCAAAGAATTTATGGGGTTTCCAAGTACTCATCATCCTGTCTTTTGACTTAGATGAAGTGTGATCCGAGAGTCAAAGTAAAATGATTATGTTCGGGACTATTGAACAATTTGATCGAAAGAGAAATTATTTCGTAGTTGTAAAAGGTTTGATCGTCTTAATCCTACTTTAGAGAATTCTTAAAACTTCCATATTAAAGGTGCGTTGATACTCATTTAACAATCAAATTAGTGTTTGCTGAGAAAAAAAAAAAAGCTTGAGAGTTCATAATTAACTTAGAAAAGTTTAGAATAAAAACATATCGCTTGTTTATAACTGCTCTCAGCCATAAAAGATTAAATATTTTAATACAAAAATATTCCAATTAAGTCAGATAATTAGCATGTTTATACATTGGGACTGATTAGTATCTATGTGTGATCATATGAATATGATCTGTCAAATGACATATGAATCATTTGCATGTGTTCTTACAACTCTAACATGGATTGATTTGCCATTCATTCCGCAGTGAACTCCAAGAACTATTTTAAGCATAACAAATAGATCTGTCAGATTAACATGCAACAATGATCATTTCTCAAGAAAATAAAGAATCTTGCACGCACTTCAAAGAAGATGCAAAAGCTGTCTCTGTCCCTCGCAGGGAGGAACTTAATTCTGCTGGCTGGAATGGCCAACCTCCAGTCTGTCACCATGCAACTCCAAACAAAAGTTTCTCTGGCACCAAAAAGGAGTTAACGTAGCCAAAAGCCACCGCCCTCTTCCTCTTCCGGGGCTACAGCTTTAAACTAACAACACTCCGACCTCCTCCTGCACTTGGCATCTGAAATGTGTCTCCCTCACATTGCCCTCCGAAGATGTAGAATGCTTGGGAAGTGGGTTAGTCTCGTATTGTCATGCATTTATGATCATATAATGGATTGTTTTTTGTGGTGCTGCCAAGGAAATACGTTCTGAATTCATCTAGATTTTATCTTGCAGTTCATATTGGATCAACATAAAAGACAACAATGGAGAAAAGAGAAGAGGAAAAGCTTTGCTAATTTGAGAGAGAGAGAGAGAGGGGGGTATAAGTAACACAACAAATGCCAACCGAAGGCTTCGTGTGTGATGTGAGAAAGGTTGTTGACCCCATGGGACGTGTGTATCTGACAACACCTCTCCTGTTCCAATCCAAAATCCTCTGCCTCTCCCTGCTCTACCTCCTCACCACCCTTCCCCTCGCCCTCTACGTCGCCTTCTCCCAGACCGGCTGCCTCTTCCGCACCCCTCCGCCCCTCCCCAAGCCGCGCCTCTTTGCCTACCCGCCCTCCTACGGGGAGCACAAGTACGCCCTCCCCACCACCCGATCCGCGTGCTCCTCCCCTGTTCCCTTCTCCGGTCCGTTAGGGTCTTTTCGAGATGAATTATCCGGTTTCTCCATCCAAGATTCGATTTTGAACCCTTTCCCTTGATCCGTGGTGCAGAGTATGGGACGGTGCTGCAGGAGATTCGCGATCTCTGCCGGAACTCTTCCGCCACGGCCGCCTCACCTCGTTCCCCTGTTCTGCGGTATTTTCAGGGTAAAGGCGACAGCTTTGCGGGAAATTTCTCCGCAAAGAAGAGGATGTCTTTCTTCAACCATACCAACGGCGATCGGGTGGAGGTCCCGTGTGGATTCCTTCAGGAATTCCCCATCAGAGAATCTGGTCTGTTCCTTCTGAACACATCTACAAGATCAAAGAATAATCCATGTTTTTGTTGTGATTTGATGCCGTTGAATGTGGAATTTGGATATTCCTAGTATTGGATCAGCAATTAATCGAATAATTCGCCCAAAAAAATCGTTTCTTGACGTGTAATTTGCTCGATCCTTGATCCTTATTTCCCATTTCTTGGAGAAATGCAGTTAGAAAGCCATTACCGACCGATGAATACCGAGAATTCTGTGGGTGTCAAAAAGGTTTTATTGCGTTGAAGATACGCTACCTTGTCATCATGACGAAGAACATCCTTTTCCCTTTCAGCTTTTCCATCGATATATTCATGTACGAATCGATCTTTTCTGTTCTGTTCCTACGTTTGACATGGCAACATTGCTGTGCTTTCGAATCCAGACAGGTCGGCGATGGAGAAATGCGACGGCGTGGTCGTAGCATCGGCGATCTTCGGCGACCACGACAAGATCCGCCAGCCCAAACGCTTAGGAGCTAAAACATTGGAAACTGTTTGCTTCTTCATGTTCGTTGATGATGCAACTCTCCGAGGTCTCGCGGCCCACAACATCCTCACCAACATCAACGGGGAAGTGGACATGATAGGAGCATGGAGAATCGTGAGTGTCTCGGTCAGCGAATTGCCCTATGACAACGCTGCCATGAACGGGGTGATTCCCAAGCATTTAGTGCACAGGCTCTTCCCCAACTCCATGTTCAGCGTGTGGTTGGACGCGAAGCTGCAGCTCACGGTGGATCCTTTGCTGCTGATTCATTCTCTTGTTGTCTCAAAGGACGCAGACATGGCGATTTCGAAGCACCCGTCTAACGTCCACACCATGGAGGAGGCGATGGCGACTGCGAGGTGGAAGAAATGGGCAGACGTCAAGTCTTTGAGGGTGCAAATGGAGACCTACTGCGAGATGGGGCTGCAGCCATGGTCGCCTAGAAAGCATCCCTACACGACAGGTGCTCATTGCCCAAATCTTGGCATCTTGATCTCATCTTCCTGCAGAAGAGACATCCAATTGATGTTTATGCAAACAATGCACCAACCAGAGGACGTCTTGAGTGGAGGACTGATGTCTCTCTTCCTGATTCATCCCTGTTTCCATGCACTGACAAGGAGGTGTGTCATTTATGTCATGATCCAGATGTTCCGGATACTGCACTCATAATAAGGAGGCATGGACTTAAGAGCAACCTCTTCTCCTGCCTACTGTTCAACGAGCTGGAGGCCTTCAACCCCAGGGATCAGCTGGCGTTCGCCTACGTGAGAGACTTCATGATCCCCAAGATCGACATCAACATGTTCGAATCGGAGGTGTTCGAGCACATAGCCATGGAGTACAGGCACAACCTCAAGCGCCACGACGCCGGTGCGCCGGCGTCGACGATCAAGAAAGCCTCCTCGCGAGACATAAAGGGTAGCAGTTGCGAGGCCTACCTGTTAAAGATGTGGGGAGAATCCAACGACTAAAGAACACACACATGAAACCTGTGCCGTGGGATATGGCAGAGTTGATTGCTTCGGACTGTACATAATACTTGTACATAACTGGGGGAGGCCTGATTTGTTGTATGTGTTGAATCCATCTACAATTAGCGATTTCTGCATAGAGTTGATTGGTTAGATTCTTTTCTTAGCAGCTTCGTCAAAGACTTCATTTGATGAAGTCTCAAAATCAATCCATGTATGTATGATAACTGATATGATGACATACATAATTGTTCTGTCAGCTAAATAAGGATATGAATGACATGGTCATTTTGATAGCGTATACGATTCTTAAGAAGCAAATATTATTTATTGGATTATTTCGACAGTTTGAGAGAAGAAGAAGAAGAAGAAGAAGAAGAAGAAGAAGAAGAAAAGGAAGTTTGGCATCAGAGGCTCCAATTTGCTGTCGTTAAGTAAGCGGCAGCAAAGGAGGCAGAATGTGTTCATTCTAGGGCGCCAGTGTAGACCATGCAGCGGCAGCTATCACACATGAAGATATCAAGGGAGCAACAGATCCAGCAACTGAAGCTTAAATAGCTTGGAGGATGAGACGATATTGACGTAGCCACAATTTGTGAGCTGGATTGGGTACTGGACTGGGATCGCCAGGAATGTTGAGCATGGCCGGAGGACAACTGAAAGAGCCATCAATGTAACCTAACAAGTCGTATCCAAATAAAAGATTAGAAAATTGAGCTCGCCAGGACGCATAGTTGCCACCATTTGATAACTTAAAGGGGATCAGCGTGGTAGCATTGATGGAGATAAGCCCTGTAGAAGAACAAGAAGTGGGAGGAAGACGCGGCAGCCGTCGTTAAGCAAGGAAGACTGAGCGAGGAAGACACCATCGTTCGCCGTTCACCGCTATTAAGGAGGCAGTGAGAGAATGTTTTCCTCCTTGCGTGACGATGACGGAGAGTGTATGCTATAGGCAACAAATAGGAGAGGGAGCAAGGCCGGCGAAGAAAAACAAGACCGGCGATGAAGGAAGAGAAGGAGTGGATGAGCAGAGCCAAGACGGTGCTCGTTAGCACTGGCTCTGAATCTATGTCTTGTGCTTCTTCAATGACTCCGCTTGTGTGGTCGCATACCATGTTAAAAAATAAATAGATAAACAAGTTGTAAAAGAAGTTGATTATTATTAATATATCCCGAGAATTTTCCTCAATAGATTAGAGGATTTCCCTCAACATAGTAGAGGGGAGGATTTTCCTCAACAGAGTAGAGAGATTTCCTAAAATAGTTAGGGAAATCTCATCTACTTAAGGTAGCGGTTCAGGTAGCGGTTCCTTGTTGCTTAGTTTGTTGAGTTCTTGAGCTTGAGTCCCCTGATCGGTAGCGGTTCCTTCTTGCTTAGGTTGTCGAGTCCCCACTTGCGGATTGTTGCTTAGTTTGTTGAGTTCTTGAGCTTGAGTCCCCTGATCGGTAGCGGTTCCTTCTTGCTTAGGTTGTCGAGTCCCCACTTGCGGAGTTCCTCCTTGAGTTTGCTGAGTCCCCTGATCGGTAGCGGTTCCTCCTTGCGGAGCTTGTGGTGTCGCCTTGGCCTGGTCGACCGCTGTTCCTCCTGGCTGAACTTGTTGAGTCCCTTGATTGCCCTTGCTGGCAACTGTTGTTGTTGAATGAGCATCCTTAATCTCTTTCTTGATGTTGTTTACGATCGTCATGAACTGGTCGAACTCAGGCACTACAAAATGAACTGTTGATCCGTCCTTGTAGAACTTTAGCCGGTTGTAGTTCTTCTGGATCTCTTTAAACGTCTCGTAGCATTCTTTAGCACGATACATTTTGCCCATCAAGGCGAAGATTGCCGCCTACGTGCGACAAACCGCTTCTTGTCAGATTAATGTCAACCTTCTTTGGGATATAGGCAATCTCTCACCCACCTTATAGAGAGGAACTCGGGGATCCGCAGCCGAAGTTTCCTCGCCACAGAGGGTCGTGTAACCTAAAGCTTTTACATAGTCGCCCTTGCAAATATGACAGAACAAAGTTGGCTCAAAGATATCTTTCAAAAAGATCAATAAATGATGCTGTAATGACAACATTAATATGCTTCATGTTCAGAATCATCGTTGATTTTATGCCATGTGGATGAAAGATAGACCAGCAATCTAAGCAATGGATCATAAAAGAGTGCGAGATGATTGCACCTCGTATATCAGCATTTCCACCAACAACATCTCAATCTCGTGCATCTCCTCCTTGTTGTTTGCGCTCTTCTCCAAAGCTGCCTCCAATATTTTGATCGCTTCCTTCTCCCTTCCGCTCATTTCAAAACTTGCTGCGAGCACCTGCCATGGACGCTCAAACGGCTCAAGAACGTTCGAAGGACAGCAACCTGGCCATCAAACACTCGAGGCGAGCGAGCGAGCGAGAGAGAGAGAGAGAGAGAGGGTGTGCGTAGTCTATTTACGTTTAGTTTACTGTAGTCCTTTCGCTCGTTGGTGAGTTCCGCGCTCAAGTCGTCCACAGCTTTGTTCAGCTTCGTGCTGTCGAGGCGCGCCTCGTGAGCGTGCATGATCCTTTGCATCGCGTTCTCGCCGCCGTACAGCATCCCGAACGACACCGACCGGTACAACACAGGGGTAACAGGGGTCGAAGGGGACTGCTGCGGGGCCTTGGGAATCGTGGCGGCGGCCGCAGTGCTCGACGCCGTCAGTTTACTCTTCTTATGCTTGTAAGCCAACACGAGGCACACGGACGCGAAGACGAGCGTCCCGGTGCCAGGGCTGGCCAGGACATGAAGGCATGCCCCGCCGACGTGCCTGGCCACGGAAGCCAAAGACCGGGGAGCCTCTCCGCTGGCCTTCTCGCCTCGGGGAAGCTGGTCGACGTGTCCTATCGGTACGTAAGTATTGCTCTTGTCGTTCATGGCCGCAGTAAGAGAAGACATAAGGAGATAGCCCACAAAGATTGGAGTGGAGCCGAGCCGCCATTCATAAACAAACAAGATTGATCTCTTGCTTAGCGAAAGAGAAAAGCGGCGGCGTCTTATGATTGACGAGGAATGAGGCTGTGTGCGAAAGCAACGCATCAGTTCTTTCTTTCTATTTGGAGAGAGAGAGAGAGAGAGAGAGAGAGACATAAGATCTCCATGAAAGCTTCAGAAGTTAGCATGGTGTGAAGTCCAGCCGTGATGTGATTCTTGGGTGCATCTCAGCAGCAAGAATCCTGCCAAAACTCCTCTTGCAGAAGTTGGCCTAACTCAAGTTTGTGGCCTAAGTATATTGCTACTTGAGCACTACATCAGCAGCAAGAATCCTAGCAAATCCCATTGCATGATATGGTTCAGCGTTCTTAGATCCTGTCCGATGGGCTGGATTGCTTGGGCCCATAAGATTGGGCCTCTTGGGCTGGACTACAAAGTTAACCTTCCTCCGATGACCCGACGAGCTTACGTTAAAAATGATGATGATGATGATAATGATGATGTTGATGATGTCCGACATATAACAGATCAAAGGATCTAATACCATCTTCGCTATTTACATTTAAAAAAATATATATAAACCATATTATTCTATATTATTATTTAAATAATAAATTTTACATCGAAGAAATTCATTTGGAGGTCTCTCAAACGTGAATGTGGAATAATGAAGTAGAAAACAACATTAATGATCGATAAAGAAATCCCGGCCATCATCAAAGAAGCAAGAAAGATATCCAAGAAATAAATATTATATATTCAATAATTTTATGATAACTAGATATCCCAACAAGAGTAATTCAAATATTATTTCTTTTCATTGAGGGTTTACACAAAATCTCATCATTTTTAAGAACATGCTGAAATATCAACATACTTCTCATGGCTCTCAAAACTTAGAATTCTACCCTACAATTATGAGAGGTAGGTATGTTAGTGATGTCAAGATTTATGATCACATAAGAAAGATGATAATCTCATCTTGTTCCAGAGACAAGACAAGTAGATGCAAGTCAAATTTTATTGTATTAGTTAGATATCTCTTACAGACTCCCAACATTTCCATCCAATTATCCTCATTATTCTCCAAGGATAAGATGTGATGTTTGACTGAGGTGGACAGGTAATGGGTGTCCATGTGATCCTTCTCTCTCTCTCTCTCTCTCTCTCTCTCTCATTGATACGTAGTTCATATTAATCAAAGACCTACATGCATTGACATTGACCATCTACCGACCATTACTCACGTGTCACACATTTGGCCCCCCACCCTCTTCGATTCCAACGTGAAAAGGAAATATAACATGTCATCATTATCAGCTCATATCTTGATAGACTCACCTTGGAAACTTGGATGATGTGGTCCATCGTACACTTGACCCTATACTCCTCATGCATCGCCACCTACTTTCTCTCTCTTGGGTTCAAATTCTCATCTCTCTGCTATATTTAACCTATATTAATACAAAGATATGCATGCAAATTAAGTGCGTGAATAGTGAAAAGGATGACCCCATTCAAATAATTCCATTACATGCACCAAATAAACAAGATCTACATATAAAATGAGTGTACGAAACGAAATAGATGTTCCACATCGCTCTCAACATATAGAAATCGTAAGAAAAATCTCCAATCAGATAAATCTACATTACATGCACCACATAAACAAATATGAGTCCACAATTGTCATCCAACGCAGACACACTAAATAAACATGTTAAACGTGTAACATGAGTGCATGAAACGGGAAAAGACATATGTGACAGACTTACCTATATCCTAATCTTATCCGACCCCTCAATTTCTGTGCCAATCAATTACAAGAATATAACTTATGCCAAAAAATATTTCACCTAATGATAAATTTAGTAATGGCATATCCAACTTATCGATCTTAAATCGAGTATCTTGATAAAAATATCAAGAATTAATAATCAAGATCCATCAAAACTTATCTTCATCACTTAGTGTTTGAAATAAAAATATAACGATATAATTTTTTATTATATTTAATAAAATTTAGTATAAATTTTTTTATATTAATTATGGAGATAATCAAAACCCCTTTTCCTCTCAAAAAAAATCTTGTTTATTCTTCCTTTGACTTTAAGAAAACTTAGTGGTTTATATTGATTATTGAGATAATAAACCCTAAAAAATCCATTGCTTCTCGTGATAAAAAAAAGTATACATTATTTTAATTAAATGGAATAAATAAAGAAGAGGAAAACGTAAATTTTAAAATAATAATAATAATTATTTTTGTTTTTTTATTATTGTTTTGGCGATGGCATATGCCGGAAGAAGTCTCTATTTATCGCGGTGTCTCGTCGCGCCCGATCGCCATCCCAACCCATCTCTCTCTCTCGCCTCATCAAACGAAAGGGAGTGCGAGCGAGTAAAGATCGAGTTTTGCTCCGTTTGCTTTGCTTGATCGAATTGTTGGGATTCGATCGGTCATCGGTGATTCTTGCAGCCGTTTTGTGCTTCTCGTGGAGAAGGGAGGGGAATAAACAAATGGCTGCGGTGGCGGAGAAGGCGATCGGGTCGGAGGATCAGTTCATGCGCCACCAGATGCCGCCGCCCGCAGACGGGGCGGAGGCGGAGTACCAGAGCGAGGTGCGGGAGCTGGTGGATTTGCTCTCCAAATTGAACCCAGCCGCCAAGGAGTTCGTCCCTTCTTCTAACCCTGCCCCCGCCGCCCGGCTGTCGGCAGTGACGCCCTTTTTTATGGCCTCGGGTGGTTTCTATAGTAATGGTCTGCTTTGCAATCTTGATGGTGGTATGGATTCGATCAGCGATGGGTCATCGAATAATCAGCCGAATCGCAGAGTAACTCCTCTGTCTTGTTTTTTTGGATTTGCGTCTTTTTCCCGTTGATCTTTAGATCGCATGATTGATGGGTATATCGGGGTTTTGGGTTTAATGTATCCCGGAATCATTGCATCTACGAGAAAGAAATGAAGGAAGCAAAGAAAAATGTGTGATTTGGATGAAGCGTATCATGATCTACTTCATTCTTTTGTCCAATTGTTGGCAATACATCTCGATTTGTTTAACTTTCGTTGTTAATGTTCTCTTTTAACTTCTTTTTGTTTGCTTTTGGTCGATTTGTGTGATTGATTTGTCCTGTAATGTTATTATATGTCAGAGAAGATATGGTCATAACCAGGGGCTAAGGAGGATGAACGATAGACTTTGGAAAGCTGAGAGGGAGGAAAGCGTTAAGCGAACTGTATATATTTCTGATGTTGATCGTCATGTGAGTCCATTAAATTTATATTATATTATATTATATATATATATATATATATATATATATATATATATATATATATATATATATT